TCCCTCTCTACACATAGAGGGAATATTTTTTACTCACTTGACGAGTTCACGGCACTGCGCTTCACGGCGACCGGTGAACTGCTTCCCGCGAGGCGCATGCAAGTTTTGCCAGTGACTCAGCGTACCTTACCGCCGATACCGTTCGGATCGAAGTAATTACATACAATTCACAGATCACAGGATCACAGTGCTGCTCTCTCTGTACACGTATAAATTTCTCGAAATTGTTTCATTGAGAAACACAAGCACAGCAATCCTTGCACTTGCACCAGACACCAACTTTCACTGGATGACTTCAGCAATTGTGTTGCCGTTCATGCACTAGACACCCCAGTCCCTTGAGCTAGACGTTTTAGTGGTTTAATAGGTTTATATTGAAGTCGTAACTTCTCAGGAAGCACTTGACGCATGTGTTTCATGTCTTTCTCCGTTCCAAGTTTATTATCAAATTATGAATTGTTTGTCTGCTGAGAACTCTTTCATCACGAAATTTTCGTCGACATTTCTAGCAGAACCGTATTTTACATGGGCGACAGACCGCCTCTCTGGTCCAGTGGTCAGAGTTTCTAGCTACAGATCCAGAGGCCCGGGTTCGATTTCCGGCGCCACCAGATTTTCTGAGAAGTAGTGGGTCTGGAACGGGGTCCACTCAGCCTCGTGAGGATAATTGGGGAGCTATTTCAAGGAAATAGCGACTCAGGTCTAAAAAACCGAAATTAACGGCCTGGGGGATTCGTTGGGCTGACCACGCGACACCCTCTATCCACTAAAGTTGGCACTAGCTTCGCCGGCAAAGGGCGGTCGCTTGGTCGGTATAGTTCGCTTGCGAACTAAAACCACGGAGTTTGTTGACATATAGAAATGCATGTTGCTCTAAAGTATACCACACCATGACGTACCACACTGCTCACTAACTGTAACTGAGAAGAAATGGCTAAAGGAGCTCATAACTGCTGCCTACTGCTGACAAATCATGAAGAATCTCCCACGCATGAACCGTACCGCTCGCCGTTTAATATAACACCGTCAAGCTGTCTACAAGTTAATTACTTCCCTTTATTCCAGAAGTCGGCTGATTCATCGGCAAGCTTCTTAATTACTAATTTTATGTTAATGGCGGGAGTTCTGTTGATCATTTTCAAAACATTGTTCATGTTTGCGCCGCTGTGAAGCACTAGGTAGAGGAAAATTATCCAAACACCAGTATTGTTCCTGTTTGAGTTTGGTGTAGGCACTTCAGCTTCCTGGAGGTTACCTAGCAGAGATATGCCCCCCTTCACCAAAGTGAATTATTTTAGTAAGAAGCTGTATTTAAGGGTTTTACTGCATGAGATTTCAGGTTCTCGTTGTGATATCAAGATTACACTGTCACACCGGTACTGTTAAAGGTCTGGGATGTAACGCTTGGTAATCCGGTAAAAGTCACCCAACATTTCGAAGGAACATGTCGCTTAAGGGTCGAGGAGTCAACCGAGCAAAGAACCCTTCTACTTTGAAGCCGGAGTCAGTATGTTCTCAGAAACGTCGTTTGACTTTTAAAGAACTACACGGAGTTACATCACCAGAAGATCATAATATTTATTGTGAAGTTAAAGACGGGATGTTCCGTTGAAATATTGGTACGCATCTGTCGGAGTGCAGTGTGACATGTCAGAAGACCGTAACCTTAAAGACTGGGTTTGTAAATACTGTACTTGACGGTCCTGTTTCCCGCACGTAAAGACGACCAGTCGATACTGGCGTATCTAAAGAATTGCGTGTAAATGCCATATCCTGCATGTGGAACTCGATTTAACTACACGGGGTTTGAGGTACTCAAGACGGTATCAGGTTTTTATATTTACCCTGGAAGTCAGATTCCTTCAAAACGTCGGTGCTTGTCTTCCAAGCCACATAGCATACATCTCACTTGAGCATAATCGTTAAGGGTGTTTGTGGCCACAGTAGTTTCCTGGTAAACATTTTACCTGAGGGCCCCCCCTACCCAGAATAAGAGGTCCTGTCGGTGCTGGCAGCTTCTATACAGTCATTTCTATGGAAATGCCTTTTCCCGCAAGTGGAACAAGATTTTACTGAAGGGAAGCGAAATTTTCACTTCCAGGGCTACAAAAGCAAAAGGCTAGAAAAGATTATGTTGACTGGTTGATTAACTTACATTGGCGCGTTGTCGAATGCAGTTAATATAAACAACGTTCTAGTTGACTGTCATGTTTCGCGTTCATTTTTTATGATTTTGAGACGTTTATTGCAGATATATTAATTTTGCCTATATTTTATCTATTTTCACCCAGATGTAATCAATGTGGGTTTCGACGTAACAGATGAACTACGGATCAGATCTTTTGCATTTGTCGGATACTGGGAGATGGAAGTACATTGAGAGTACATCGGCTATTCATACACTTAAAGGAAACCTATGATTCAGTTAGGAGGGAAGTATTGTACAATATTCTGATAGAGTTTGGGTACCCAAGAAACTACGAGTAGTTAGGCTGATCAAAATGTGTTTAAACGAAACATATGGTAAAGTCCGTATAAGTAAACATTTGTCTAATAATTTTCCTATCCAGAATGGTCTAAAACAAGGAGATGCTTTATCGCCACTGCTTTTCAACTTTTCTTTAGAACAAGGGTATCCAAACTACGGCCCGCGGGCCACATCCGGCCCGCTAAAGAATTGTGCAGAAATGCGCCAATTGAACTAATTTTCCAGTGAGTACTGGTAAATGTGATTCCGAGCTTATTGACCAGACATATTATACTGCAGTTCGATGGCTTAGCTGTGGAAAGGTTCTTTCGCACTTCTTTCAGCTCAGGAATGAAATTTATATATTTCTTACCGAGAAAAACCATCACGAACCACTTTTATCATATACCGAGTGGCTTTGGAAATTAACATTTTTTGCTGATCTGGTGAACCATATGAACCATTTGAATTTAAAGGCAATCAGAGCAAAGTTGATACTTCGGGAAAGCCAAGTGAAAAATTGTAACTTTGTTCATATGCAATACTGTGCAGAGTTGCATAAAAAGGATGAAGCAGAATTTCCTTCCTCGTTTGCAAATTTAGTCATTTCAGATTTGAAAGAACAATTTCGGAAACGATTTGCTGATTTGGATTCCAGTGCTCAGGAAATTAGATTGTTTCAAAATCCGTTTGACTGTGACGCTGCAGATGTCCCAAGTCAAATTCAAATGGAAATTACTGAACTTAAGGAAAATTATCATATTAAAGACAAATACAAGGAAGGAAATTTGATCGAATTTTATAAATGTCTGAACTCTGAGCCATTTCCAAATTTAAAGAAATTAGCTTGTAAATTTATCTCCATTTTTGGGACGACGTATCTGTGCGAACAAACTTTTTCCCAGAAGAAGTACATCAAGTCGACATACAGGACAAATTTATCCAGTGAACATTTAAAGTCGCTATTTGTGATTAGCGTTTCAAGATTTGAACCTCAATTTAATCAGATTTTAAGAATGCAAAAAGAGTTTCATCATTCACATTAATTGTTTTATTATAATTTGTGATGAAAATATGAGCATTTGCTGCTGTCTGTTGTCATTAATATACGATAATTTATTCTCACTTACTTTGTATTTGGTTTATGAAATTCTGTGCTTTAGATAAAACTCATATGCCTAGAGTTATTAATTTCTCGTTTTATCCGGCCCGTTGAAAGTGCTGAATTACCTAATGTGGCCCGCGGTTCGAAAAGTTTGGAGACCCCTGCTTTAGAATATGCCATTATGAAGGTCCAGGAAAACTAAGTAAAACTGAAATTAAATGGGACACATAGCTGCTGGTCCATGTCGATGATGTGAATCTGCTTGGTGATAATGTAGATTCCTGTTTTAGAATATGCCATTAGGAAGGCCCAGAAAAACCAAGTGGGACTGAAATTAAATGGGACACATCAGCGTTGGTCTAAGCTGATGTGAATCTACTGGGTGATAATATAGGTACCATAAAGAAAAACACAACTTTAATTGACGCAAATAAGAAGGTCGGTCTAGAAGTATATGTTGCTGCCTCGTCACCAAAATGCAGGACAATATTATAACATAAGATGTTTTGAAAATGTGGCACATTTCAGATATTAGGAACAGTGATAACAATTCAGTACCTGATCCAGGAGGAAATTAGGAGGAGATTGAGCTCTGGTAATGCTACCATTCAGTCCAGAATGTCTGCTGTCTAGAACCATAAAATATGGGAGTGAAACTTTGCCTCTGACAGTAAGGAAGAAACATTGTTAAAAACGGTGCTGAGGAGAATATTTGGGCCGGAGAGATGAAGTGACAGGTCGGAGAGAACTGCATAACGAGGAGCTTAATAATTTGTACGCTTCTCCAAGTATAATTAGAATAATCTAGTCAAGGAGGATGAGATGTGCAGGGTATGTAGCAAGAATGTGGGAGAGGAGAAATGCATATAGGATATTGGTGGGAAGGCTGGAATGAAAGACCAAGACGTATGTGGGTGAACAATATTAAAATGCATGTTAGAGAGATAGGATGGAATGGTATTGATTGGATTGAACTGGCTCAGGATAGGGATCAGTGGAGGGCTCTTGTGAACACGGTAATGAACCTTTGGGTTCCATAAAATGCCGGGAAGTTCTTTGTGGCTGCACAATTGGCAGCTTCTCAAGAAGGGCTCAGCTCCATGAGTGAGTGTAACCAGTGCCTCGGTAGTGGACCATCGTGAACTGTTTATGTATTTTGCAACCGTAGGCATTTCTGTTCTGATTGAATGTGCCGTCAATGAAATATGAGAATATAAACGTTTTTGGAAAATTGTGTACTGCTATCTACGCACATAATTGCGCGGGTGTAGGGAATGTTATTTTCGATGATACCTGTATTTGTTTGTCATTGCTGGTATCCATACTTATTGCTTTGCAGTTCATTACTATAACCTGCCCAAATATCTCATTCTCCTTTCGTCTTCCTCAGGCCCGCAATTGAATGACTGTCTGTATGTTATGTTGCAGAGGAAGAGATTGACGTAGTGTCAGTGGTGGATAGAGAGAAGCTGACCACTCTGCCCACGAACCCCACCGCCAGGGACCGACAGCAATTGCAACGCACAGTGGCATCCGCCATCCACCAACGTGCGTCGCGCGGCCATAAACGGCCCTCCTCTGATGATGAGAAGCGTTCCTACAAAAGGCGTCGCGCGGGTGAAGACGGGGAAGACTCTAGCGAACGGCGCAACCAGCACAACGACATGGAGAGGAAGCGCAGGGTAGACATGCGCGACGCCATCTCCAACCTGCGCAAGTTGGTACCCGCCGTCTCGGACAACAAGCGCGCAGCCAAGGTGCTAATCCTGAACGAGGCCGCCGCGTACTGCCGGCAACTGCACGCAGTGGGAGAGCACATGTCGCGTGCTAGGGAGGAACTGTATAGACGCCAGAAGGTGCTGTCGGCCCGCCTCAAGGAGCTGCGCGTTCAGAATGCGAAGATACGTGGCAGTGTCGAGAAATCACCCCGCAAAAAACGCATGGGCAGCAGGTAATGGGCGCGTTATTCCAAGAAGTTGTTCGTTTTAGGGAATTTTGTGCCGGGTCATGTGAAACCCAGGACTAGTTCCTCGACTTTTGAGGTGTTGACAGAATTTTTAGTCATGACCACAGGGTTGGGCATGAAGTGTATGTAAATGTATTATATGGAGTGCTTATTGTGTGACAAGTGAAGGAGGGGAGGGCAGCTTTTTATTTTAAAAAAAGCGATGATTATGATGATATGCTGCAATGAAAAATCTTTATGCATGCTAGGCATACCCATCCGCTGTTAGTATATTAAAAATATGCCTGAATTAAATTAACATGGGACAAATATTAAAAAGTAGGGTAGATTTATGGCTTTTGTAACTGAATTTGAATGGCTATTTTTTTTATTGTTAATGGTAATGGTCTTTGGTCCCATTTTGTTGGAGTTTTGGAGTTTGAAAGACGATAATAACGTTCTCTTATTCATGACCCACTGATAGTATCTTCCTTGAAATCAGTCTTGAAGGAAATTGTATAATTTCATGAAACTGCTTGGTGTATTCTTTATGTGCCAAAAAGTTTGTATAAAACGTTTGCCTACTACACAGAAATGTACATCAAATGCAGTCCAGTGTGAAGGGACTTATCTAGAAGTCTAATGCTATGATGAAATGTTTGCTATTTGTAGGTCATGCCATAACTTAGTTGGCTACAAGCTGGATTCACACTACAGAAGCCCACATTCAATCCCAGGCGATAACATGGGAGATCTGCAATGAACAAAGTGGCACTGGAGGTAGTTTTTCCTTGACTTTTTTTTTTTTCAGTTTTTGTCTGTTTATGATTTCACTATGCCCCCTCAGATGTATAATTGTCTTTACAGTAAGTACATCATCACATCCATGATCTTTAAGTCTGGGGCTTCTTCGCTGACCTGACACTTGGCTGTGTACAGTGTAAGAAAATGATTTTATAAGCTCATTGTGTATCATTGAACTACAACTGAGAATTTTCGAGCGTGCACAGAGATTTTATAGCTGTTACAATCTGTCGATTCTGATAAGATAATATCACTGATCACTATCCAATTTTATCAGAAGTTTGTAGTTAAGCTCTGTGGATTTGACACTAAAATTGTCTTTAGTTTATTCTGATATCTTCTAGAGCATTCCTAGAATTTGACTTCAGTATTTGTCATATTTTCAGTTTGCCTATTTTGTGACCTTTATGCTAATATGGTTTCCAATCCGTACAAACCAGGCAAGCAGAAAGTACTCTTTCACTATTTTAACCCCAGTTACATATAATTTTTTAGTCTTATAGCGATTATGAACTCTGTCTCTTTAAACTCTTGTAACTGAACTTCTGAATTCTGGGAACAGCTTCAAGAAACTTAATTTTAAAAGTTAGTAAACAAAATCAGAGGTAATAGTGTTTAGTTTTAAATGTTGTATGAGGGGACGTTTTAAGTGCTTGTTAGGGTTAGTAGTGAAAGAGTTAAATCGAAAATTTGCTAGATCATCAGAACCATGATCGTTATCATAGCATGGCTGTAGGTTGGATTGCATTCTTGCTCCATATTTTCATTGAAAGGCTTCACTTAAGCAGAAATACAATTTCAATGTTAGCAGGCCTTCCTGATTTCATTTAAAATTTATAACAGTATAACAGTAGCAGGATCTATATATTCACTTCTGTAATTAGCAGTTAAGTATATGCAACCATCGTAAAATGGAAAATATCTGTAAATAGGCTGTCATTATTTTAGTGAAGTTACCAGTATACCATCTGATTCTTGTTGTAAGTCTGTTATGTCCCAGTAAATTATTGTTGCACATATGGGTGTTACACCAGATTGCTAAACATTTGCTGGTTCTATTTAATTATTACTAAACAGCAGGAGGTATCAAGGCTATTGCCAAAACGCATTTCTAAAATCTAAAAAAATGTAATAGTGAACAACCATAAGTACCAGCAGCTTGCATTTAAAATTGTTAGAATTGTTCTTGTTATGAAGTCAAGGGGGAACAGCTGCAGAAAGTAGCAATAATGGGGGGTTGTGCAGTTTGACTGGCTGCCATGAGTATTCTCACAACTTTCAGATGCGGAACTGCAACCCACCAGTGAAGACAGGCTGCAACACAGCGGATGTTAGCAGCATGCAGAAAGAATAAAAAATTGGCATTAGAACACAGAAAGAAGCAGAGATTGTGTTTGAACTTGAGATAGCACACAGTAAGTGAGAGGTGCAGCCACTGGAATGTTTTCTGCAATACTGATGCATTCCACAGTAATATGAAGAAAACTATATTTTGATAGTACAGTATGGTTCCTCATCCCATAATTAGTCACATGAACAACACATTTTAAAACTTGGAGTAGCACACAACTGTGAGTCATTGACATAATTTGGAACTGCCCAGCATTTGTCATCTTAATCTTTGGAAACTTATTGCCCATTCTTTTTTTCTGTTCTTTCAGGAAAAACAGTGCAAGAATTTATTATTTGGTAGTGCAGCAGAAAACCAGTCTGCATTAATTGTTCTGAGATGTTGCAGCAAGCTTTGTTTTCTCTTGTGAACAGTAGAATTGTTTACAGTTTATAACTAACATTTCTGTCATTTGGTTCTGAAATGGAAGAGAGTTGAATTTATTAGGAAGTTGCAGAATTAGATACCACCTGTTTTTATGAACTTGTGTGTTGGAAAATGATTTTGAACACAGTCTCCTACTTTATTATTTCTCTAAATGAGACATCAGAACAAAACAAGGAAAGTAATTTATTTTATCACTGTTGTAACAGTATATCATTTTATACAGTTTGAAATAAATTGACATTATTTTATAAGTTGTAAGCTCATTCTTATATTTTGGTTTTGGGTGTTCCTGAAAATTTGTGTACAAAATTCATATTATCTTATAATTTTAGATATATTTTGGCATTAAATTAGGCATTGCTTGTGTTATTTTCTTGCATTGGTGACAGCTGTCATTGTCTCTTCTAGTGGATTAATTCCTGTTGAGAATTTAAAATGACATTCTGTTTTGTCTTACTTTGCCCACTTAATTTTGCTTTCAGAAGAACACTGGGAATAAGCAAGTGTGGTGGGAATATATATGTAACTGTAGTCGATATGCTAGATGCCAAAGTATGTTCGCTCACTGTAGGCGACTTAACACATTGTATATATTGTAATTAGTGTTGCAGCTTCTACATGCATTTTTCTAATAACTGCCTCAAGCTATTTAAAGATTGATGTATGTTAACACTTGTTTTTAACATTTTTTTTCAATTTCACATACTGGTTCATATCTCACTTTTCCGCTTTGGCAAACATCGTTTGTTGAACACAAGAACGTATGTTTTGTTTGAACCTTGTATAGTCTATTAAATGCTAGTAATAACAATTTTCATATATATATATATATAAATAAGAGCAGTTATATGATATATATTATTTATGTTATCTTGTGTCCTGTGTACAGATTTTATATTTGCTGTGAATGTTGAGGTAGAAGGGGATATAATTTGATCGCTTGTGTTTGGGTTCACAGTATTTTGTACTTTTTGATATAAGTAACATTTGATTATATTTGGAAGTTAGATGAGTTTAACTTCCGATACAGTTATCAGTATGATGGCTCATGCCAATTCCAGGATTGCTCATTGATTTGATTTGTTTGTCTGTGAAACATCATTTTCTGGTTTGAAAATTTCAGTGTCTATGTTGTAGGGAACACATTGGTAGGGTTTTGTATCCATCTGCCCCATTATTGACATTATTGCAAATGGGCAGTGTTTGGATTGCAGATGCATGTTAAATGAGGAGTTTCATCCCTCTACAGAAATTATATTAGTATCTGTACAAATTTGGATATTTTTGTGAGTGAAATGTGCCTTGCAGCTTTGTATGATACAGGTGAGATGCATCATCAGGGTTCCCTGCCAGAGTGTCCACTGTAACAGCAAAATTAAACTAACTTAATTGTGATATATAAAGGACGATTTTGACCCATTTCCTTTACAGAAAAATACAAAACAATGCAATACCGTTTGCTGTATATGTATATCCATTGTTGAACATTACTTTGAGCATCATTTAGAACATCGCTGGAATGCATATAGGCAGATATTTCCAGACTGGTTTCACACATACAATATGTTGGTCTGCTGACAGAATTCAGTGACAAGTGCTCTATTGTGGCTAGTAGTGTGCTGTCAGACAACTGAAAACAGGGAATGTAGAAAAAGTTTTCTCCTCCATTTAACAAAAGCTTTATGCATTTTGTACCTAAATATACCACAGTGTTAGTTTCGGATGTGCTAAGCCAGGGAGGTAACAAGAAGTGTGAACACTCCTTTTGCACATAATTGCTGTGAAAAAGAATATGCTTCTCTTAATACCATGCAGTTGTATTTCTGCTCCGACTTACAGTCCAAAATTTTGCATTGATCTAATATCTTTTGTGAATGTGTATGTAGCAGTGTTACAAACATTGGAAATTAAATTATCATCATAAAAGAATCTTAAATGGTAACATCACCTTTTGATCACTTTAAATGAGAAAATTAGGAAGACATAGCCACACAATGAGACACTGGTGGAAAGATTATGGACCCATGCTGTGTACAATGATTTCTTTAATGTGCAAAATATTAGTATGAATATTTTTATTATGTCTCATCTCTGCCATTATATAGCATACATATAATTCCTGAATCTCGCCAGTCTGTACCAAGTAACCACATCGTGGCCTGGATGGTATTGTCTGTCTTTGAACTGTTGTCAGGTGCGGTTGCATTTATTGAAATATTTTGATTGCAAGAATGTTTGAAATTGATGCTTTTTTATTATTTTAAATAGTGTATCATGTTAAGGCACATTTCTACATATTTGTCATTTTTTATAAATGAAATATAAGTATTGTTAAAAAATGTGCTTATTTTGTGACAGTTGACAAAGGTACTTAAGATTAGTGGCCTGCATATGAGTGAGTGGAGTATTACTGTAAATCAGTTTCGTTGGTTTAGTTCCTGCATAAATATATAATTAATGCAATACTGTTTATTTTAATTACACCAGTCATCATCCTAGCTGGGGGCGCCCACACTTCTGCCCTTTAGTACTAGCATTATTGATTTTTCTGAAAGCTGTTCATTCAGAAGTTTTTAATGGTTACTACAGACATCATTTGAATGTAAGATTTGAGGCTTTCACGGCGGTGACTATGAAGAAAGCAGTCTTCTGGGATTTGCTCCGTGTATATGTGGTGTTAACCGACGTTTNAAGCGAAGAGACCTCTTGCGGATTTCTTATATTTTTCCTTCTACCCTGAAGATGGAGGCGATACGTTCCTCCGAAACGTCGGTTAATACCACATATACACGGTGCCAAATCCCAGAAAACTGCTTTCTTCATCATTTGAATGGTTCCAAAATTGTTGTGGCTTCTTCATGGTCCTTTCCCAATGTCCCAGAGACAGTGTTGCATGAAACTTCAGGGGTTCTGAGGGTTTGGTAGAAATAAATTACAAGTATAAATTTGAAAAATACTGTGCCGTGAAGTAAATATTAGGGGCACGCCGTAGCGTAGTTGGTTGAGGCACTATGCTACAAGCTAAAAGGTTGTGGGATCGAATCCCGATGAAGTGATTTTTTTTCTCGATTTTTCTAATGCTTCCAGCCACACTATGGATGGCCCTGGGGTCGACCCAGCCTCTAACAGAAATGAGAATCAGGGATATTCTTGGGGGTAAGGGCGGCCGGTGCGTAAGGCTGACAGCCTTTGCGCCGTCTATGAAGCGACTAGAAAATATGGGAACCTCAACATCCCCTAACCCTATGGGCCTCCAGTCTGTTACAAGGATACCTTTACTTTAATGAAGTAAATATCTGCAGCATTTCCATACTGTACCCACAACTGCAATCCTTAGCATTTCTTCAGTAATCTGTTGTGTATGTTTATTGTATTATTTACCAATCTTATTTTATGCTGTACAACATGAAGCCTTGTCATTGGCCCTTACTCTAAGCCAGATTAGGTAATTCAAAATTAATTCATAATGATGCCATTTAATGTTATCCTCTCTGTGCTTATAGCTCTTCTCTTGGAGGTGTCCAGCTAAATTTCATATTAATTTGGGTTATTCTCATGTATATATTATTGCCAATGTGGACATGATTACGACTAGAATCCTGGCTCACGTCTCAGAAATAAAATCTTATTTTGGCCTACTTGACAGAGTGAGCTATGGTGGCTTTTGTCTTGTTTGTCATCTTGCTTCTTCCTTTCATCAAGGCAACAGTTGCGCAGCAATCCTTTATTCATGTGTCATAAAGTTTGGTTAATAGGAAATGCTTGGGGCTAAATATAAAAATGGTATAGAAGGTACAGGCATTGTAGATATCTTCACAATGTTGAAATTAGAAGAGCTTTTGTGTGATATTTACATGCTTCTCAGGCAGTGAGAGTTAACCAGACAGCATCAGGCAGGTATGGGTACTGGACACGGAATTGGCAAGTACGTAGCGTTTGATGTGTAGCATAATTTAGCGTTAGGAAATGAATAAATAGAGCAATGCAATCTGATAAAATTAATTCTGATAAACCATAATACCAACTGACATTGAAATTAGACAGTTCTTTGACCGTTACTTATCAGTGTCCTTGTTTGCTTGTAATGTTCGATGGACACCGCTTTGCGATGGGGAAAGGGTTCTCGGAGCCTGGAGAGCCCTCAGAGACGGTTTGGACTTGGTTTAGCCCTTTGCCAGTCAATGAGCAGACACTTACGGCTCCTAACCCACAACGTTAGAGCAGGGTTTGTCAGACTTGGCGAGTGGTGCTTCTGATCTGTCCAGACCTTCGCGGTCTGCGTCTTGACGTTGAACTGGGAAAGCATTAACGCAGACAGGACTAATTTTCCAAAGAATATAAGTTGTGTTGCCATGCTGGGACAAATGCAACTTGACGCCATGGCTATTCAGAGGGCACTGCTCGCTCAGTGGAGGACCGTGTAATTGAAAGCTATTAATACGGCTGACTGAATGTGGCAAGGTTAGTTTCAAGAACGCGATTTGCAAAACATTCAGTTGAATGAGCTGGGCAAGGATCCAGCTTTCCACGCATTCGCCCCACAAGTTGTCGCCCAATTTGTTCGCGCTGAGTGAAACAAAGGAAAGTAAAATGGTTTCTTGGTATTTAGCTTATACAGTACTTATTCACAGTGTTATGCAACCTTATCCATAAATAATTACCTTGTAACAACTCGAACGTTAAATCCCGATAGCACCGAAATCTGCCGTTCGTCTCGTTACCATGTGAAAAGGTGGGCCCAAGGACGAATAAAATTTGGCCCCCGCCGCCGTGCCAGAAATTGAGTAAGAGGAAAATGTTCACATTTTGAGTATTTATCAATGACAGTCCCGGAAAAGTTGCGCAGTGGAGGGGAAAGTCCATTCGTGAACGTTGAGGGGTGTTGTGATTAGTCATTCGTCTGTTTTCAGTGCGAGCAGACGTCTCAAATTCAGTTAAAAGCAGTCTTCCTTGTACAGTCAAGTTAAAAAAATTTGACTCTTGGTGTCTTATTTGAGTGTATTTCTTTACTGTATTAATATTTTATGTTATTGTTTATTTTTATTCATTGATTTTCTTTTTTGTTTATTTATATTTGTACATTTTTTCTATCTCCTTTAACATGCCACCTACATGAAATAAATTGAGTGGGAAAATGTTGCATTCACAATCAAGAGAAATTGTTAGTAATGTATATAAGTATATGAAAGAGGCTGGGCCAAATATTACAGTGAAGAACATAGGAGTAGAAGTAGTAACGGCAACAGGTGTATCGGAAAGTAGGGTCAGAAGAATAATAAGAGAAAAAATATCGAATCTGGGGCTTCCACTTCCTTTTCGACACCCCATAAAGAAAACTTAGGAAATCTCCACTAGCCATTTTGGACGACTTTAACGAGTCTGTGGTGCGAAGAACAATTAATGACTTCTACATAGTCGAAAAACGGAGACCTCCGTTGAGAAAAGTTCAGGAAAAGTTGAAGAAAACGTTAGACTTTCAGGGATGCGTCTCCACATTAAAGAAAATTATTTTGAAATAGGTTCCGCTGGAAGAAAACAAAAAATAATCGGCAGATACTGGTGGAAGGATATAATATCAGAGCCAAACGTCTTCAGTATTTGCGGCAAATTAAAGAATATAGGGAAGAGGGCCGCCCAATCATCTACATGGATGAAACCTTCATTCATCGCACACCACCTCATATGCATGGAGTGATGGATCCATCCAGGGTTTATTTTCCACTGTGTCCAAAGGCTCATTGTTATCCATGCAGGGGGAGAGCAAGGTTTCATCCCTAATGCCTATGTCCGCTTCAAATCCCACCAAAAAGCAGGAGACTACCACAGTGACATGAACTACACCAATTATGAAAAATGGTTAAAGTAGCGACTTATTCCTAACCTTCCCCCAGATTCTGTCCTTGTCATTGATAATGCTCCCTACCATAATGTACAACTAAACAGAGCTCCTAACTCAAATTCAAGAAGAGATTTTGTGATATCCTGGCTAAAATATCACCTTCCACCCATTACCTTCAGTGACACTGATTTTTCATCATTGCGGAATCCAGACATATAATATGATCCTACCACTCAAACCGAAATACCTATGCTGTAAAATAGATGGAATCTGCAGAACACAATGAGGTAATAAATTATTTCCTTCTGAGAACGCCTGTACTGCATTCCCCTCCACACTTCTGAGCATGCTGGAGCTCTCCCCACCACTACCAATACTTCTCCTACTCCGCGTCGGAGGACTGTCCCTTCTAAGTACGAGTACTACAACTGTATTTTGTTGTTACGTTGTATATCTACTTCCTTTTTAGCAACTAGGATAATTTTGGGTTAACATTTTAAACAAGGAACTGCGGCAGAATACCTTGTTCTGCTTGGTACAAATACAATGTCACCCCACGGGTCGGGATGGGATTCGAACCGCTTTTGCTAATGCGTGTTTAATAAAGACCACAAGTCTGTAGTACAAACGGATGGAGCGACGCTGTTATGACTATACTGCAGGTCGTATAGCATGGATTCACACTAGGCTAAAAGTGCACTGTCTCTGTTACTGGGCAGAACCGGTTACATTCCTCGAATTTTTCTTTTAGGCTCTGAATATAACTGAAACAGATTCATGTGATACCGAATTACTCAAAAATAGTTTGTTAATTAATACGTCACTTCCTCCTTGACTTTTTTTTTCATGTAGGGTATCTCTTTAATACCATGAATAAAATTATATTATATTCTGCTGTAATGTCGCCTTTGAAATTATTGTCACCTGTATGAGTGACTAGCCGATCACAGAGGCCGCGCGGGCTAAGGCATGAACCGTCTTTGCCCGCCCGAACACTGGGGTCGTTAGTTCGAACCCCACTTGAGGCATGGAAGTCTGTGTGCGTTTATTCTGTGTTTGTGTTCTGAGCTGCTTTGCGATGGGCTGATCCTCCGTCCAATGAGTTCTACCGACTGTGTATAGGATAAAGTCTTCTGTCTTCGCTCTTTGCTTCCCAAAGTTACTTTACGAGTGGTGGTTAACCTCCAATCAGTTCGTCTTGGCGTCAGGCCCCGTGAGACCCACGATCACAGACTTTTTTTTTTCAACCTAACCTTTGTGGTCATAGTACTTATGTGACATCCTGTTTGACGAGAAAATGGGCTTGTCTCGTATGAATATGCTTGACTTGTCGGCAAGTGTACGTATCGCACAAATAACATGTTATTAAAAACATCGAAGCTGGTCTAAAGTTTTCCTGTCATCAGTATCCTAGAAGAAGAATTGCTCTTAAATCGGAGGGTCTAGTTGGGTTGGTTGACTGATTCCCAGTGGGCTGGTCTGGCTGAGACCAGCGGTAGGGGTTGTAACCGCACCACTGCCGCGCACTAGTTTAGGTATAATTAGAATCATTAGTACAAAAGATTTAATTACCAGTAGCATGTAATAGCCAAGTCAGTGGGACATAGTCACCTTGCTTGCAGAAAT